TATAACTTTTCTTCTCAGTTTAACCCAATCTACTATAATCTTTGGGGTCGTCCATATCGAATCTGACACCCTGTATATATATACTATTTTATAGGTCATATATATATATGTACATGTTTATAGTACCCGCACTAATGTGGTTTTGTGCGTATACTTATGCGCCTGTGTCGCTTGCGTATGTGAACGCTATTTCTTTCTTTGTAATAATGACTCGTTGTTTGAGATAACTAAAACTTTATTATGCGTCCTGCCGCGACGATCTCCAGTACAATACTGCATGTGCCTACCGGCACGAGCGCCAATCTCTCCATGAACAAAACAAAATCGTGGGACCGATAGGTCCTCAAACTAGATGTCGCGACTAAAGCCCAACTATTACCCTTAGGGATAAAACATAAATCTGACCTGAACGGCTCTCAAACTAAAATACGCAACATACCGCCGCCCTTGAAAGCCTCGACTTTCAATAAACTAAATATACAGAACGCATAGTTACAATGAAATATGATTGATTATACGCTTATTTATGATAAATACGCAACTTATAACTATTGTTCAATAGGCAAAACGGATACCTTTGTAATAGGTCGTTTGTACACTCCTTTAGAAGTTCACACAGAAACAACGCGAATAATATTATCCTTTCCCGGATAGACTTGCTCGATTCGGCCTAGACTCCAACACAAGGGTGGTAAATTATCTTCCTTTAATATCACCATTTGTCCCACCTTGATAGGATCAGTTTTTTCATTCCATTTAACCCGAGATTGACAGTTGTGAAGATATTCCTTTACCCAACGCTGCCAGAAATGTTGCCGTAGTTGTTCCACTCGCTGCCACCGAGATAGCCTATTTGTTTGCAATTCCTTAAGGCTAGGTTCTGGATACGTTGTAATTGGACATCCGATCAGAAAATGTGCTGGTGTGAGTGCATTGAAGTCATTAGGATCGTTTGATAAAGGTGTAAGTGGCCTCGAATTTAATACCGCTTCAATCTGTATCAGTACCGTGTTTAATTCTTGATATTTTAGCGAAGCCTCACCGACGATGCGTTTCAAGTGAAATTTAGCACTTTTAATGGCGGCCTCCCATAAACCACCCATGTGTGGAGACCTAGGCGGAATAAAATGCCAATTCATCCTTTCGGATGTCGCGAAATTACCAATTTTTTGCTTAACAACCTCATTATTGAATAAGTCGTACAGTTCATTAAGTTCACGATTAGCTCCGATGAAATTTAAACCGTTGTCCGTACATATCCGTGGGACGTCCACTTCGAGAAATAAATCGTTTGAGTACATTTAAAAATTCTTCCGCTGAAATATCTGATGCCAATTCTATATGTACGGCTTTAGTAGCTAGACAAACAAATAAAACCATATAACATTTGATTGATTTCGCCTTTTTTTCGCTGACCTTCCTTATACCACAGTGGTCCCGCATAATCGACGCCGCATTTTTTAAATACATACTTCGCTATATTTACTCGTGTTTCGGGTAAATCCGCCATCAAAGTTGCGCCTAACTTTGGCGTGTTACGTATGCACGTCGTACATTTCTTTATTACGCTACGAATTACACTTCGAGCCGACGACGTCGGCCAGTAATTTTGACGGTTTGCCGACAATGTGGCTTGGGCTCCGGCGTGCAATTGACGTTCGTGTTCGTCTATAATAATCAATCGTGTGAACGCATGCTTGCCCGGCAATAAAACGGGATGCTTATGGTCATAGGAAACAATAGCGTGTCTCAAACGACCACCGACTCTTAAGATGCCATGTGCATCAATAAATGGATTTAGATTTAGGATGTTGCTATTTTTTGCTACGTAACCATGACTTCTGAGCGAATGCAGCTCTGTTTTAAAGAAATCATGTTGGATCATTTTTACTAATGATACCCTTGACCGTTCTAATTCTTTCATAGACAAGGGCTGAACCTTATCAACCTCTTCCTCCCTACGTGAAATTGTTTTTCTTATTTTACAATTCGCTATGAATCTATGACAGAAAGCGATAACGCGTATCAATCGAGAAAGCTTAGAGAATCGATTAAATATATCGTACGATGGTTTATTGCCCATCTCAATTACCATTGCTGTTAGTCTCATTTCCGGCATCTCTACATCCGATGTGTGGAAATTCTCAGAAGGCCATTCATCATTATCGCATTTCAACCAAAATGGCCCGTGCCACCACAGATCTAGCTCGGATAATAAGTTGGGCATGATACCTCTGGAAAGTGGGTCGGCAGCATTATCCTGACTAGACACATGTCTCCAACTGTCAATATTTGTAAGTCGCTGTATTTCAGCTACACGATTCGCTACAAATGGTGTCCACTGACGGCTGCATGATCACAACCAACACAATACGATATGTGAATCGGTCCAATAATGAATAGAGTCTATCGTTAAAGGTAAAGCACTTAATACCTTGTTGGTAAGTTGTGCCAGCAATAAAGCTCCACAAAGCTCGAGTCGAGGAATAGATAATGTTTTAAGAGGTGCGATTCTTGACTTAGAACACAGCAAATGACATTCAGATTGCCCATTCGTGTAAGTGGATCGAACGTAAATGCATGCTCCGTATGCTTGTTGACTAGCGTCTGAGAAACCATGAATTTCCACCTTTCGTTTTTCACTGAAAGTAATCACCTTTCGGGCTACCTGAATATCACCAAGAAATTGTAACCTGAATTCATATTCTCTCCAAAGTGTATGTAGTTCACCAGCTATAGTTTCGTCCCAATCAATTTTCTCCCGCCATAATTATTGCATCAGAAGTTTAGCAATTATAATGGATGGTCCCAATAATCCTAAAGGATCGAACATTAAGGCTATCCTAGACAATATACTACGTTTGGTAAGCCTATCCAGTGGTGGATGTTGTCCTATACTTATGAACTTGAACACATCTGATTCACAATTCCAGACTACACCAAGAGCTCTGGTTTCGTTGCCCAAATTAAATTCCTTTTTTGTAGAACCTTCAATGTCTTGAATGGAAGAATGATTAGACGACCACTTTGTTAATTCAAATCCGCCTTTCCTCAGCAATTAAATAGGTTGTTTCTTGATCTCTAATGCCTCTTGTACTGTAGATGCACCTGTAAGCAGGTCATCCACATAAAAATCGCGTAATACTAATTTCGATCCAATGGGAAATGAATCCGCTTCGTACTCCGCGAGTTTGTGTATTGATCTAATAGCCAAGAAGGAGGCTGGCGCTGTACCATATGTAAGTGTAAGAAGCTCAAACGTTTTTAGTTCATCTTGTGATGAGTTACGCCAAAAAATACGTTGCAAAGATCTCTGGGACTGGTCGATGAGAATCTGTCTATACATTTTAGTAATGTCAGCCGTCATGGCGTATCGAAACGTGCGAAATCGTACTAAAATAGAGAACAAATCCTCCTGTATAGTGGGACCAACCAAAAGTGCATCGTTCAATGACAGTCCTGATGCCGTCTTACACGATGCATCAAACACCACTCTCAATTTGGTTGTGATGCTGTTTTCTTTAAAAACCGCATGGTGCGGCAAATAATATGACGTTTCGTTATTCGCGTCGCGATCATCGACTTCACGCATGTGATTCAAATTAACATATTCTTGCATGAACTCCTTATACTGTTGTAACGAACGTTATTATTTCGGTCTAGCTCCTCCCGGTTCCGGACAGGATTCCGGCAGGAATTATTTTCAATCGGACATGCGGTTCCGATTGACGGTCGGAGGAGCTAGCGTTCTCGCGGTCGGTATTTTGACGTGCTGTGTGTCGGTTAGAATAGATCCTCCGTTCCTCCTGTTGCCGAATATGCTCAGCTCCAGGGCCGTCGGGAGGAAAGGAGGCAAGGTAGATTTTAATTCGCTTAATAGAGTCAGTCGCTTGGAAGGGATTCGGAATAAGTCTTACAGGTGTTTTTC